CCAAATTTCCAGGATTCATGGTACATTCATACAATGAAATACAAGGCAGCCATTTAAAAAATGAGGTAAAGGTACACGTGATTAACCTGGAAATAAGTCCACAATATAATTAGCTTAAGAAAGTGTTACAAAATGGTATATGATATTATACCATTTCTTTCCTAACTAATAAGTACATACAAAGAAAATAACTCTAGAGGATTATAGATGTCATTGTTCCTATTTCAGGAAGATGAAATCCCTGGCTTTATCTTCCTACCTTATGTATTTCAGTATTGTCAGAATTTGTTTTCACAAAGTGTATGTAACTTTGCTATTTAGAAAAAAGTGAAAGTAGTTCTCCCTTTAATTATTTGATTAATGAGGTCCTAACATACACGCAGATACACATATGTACACACCTGCAACACATCATTTTACAAGCTGCATGCTGGGGCTGCCATAATTTGCTTAAGCAATTCTCTATCATTAGGTATTTAGGTTGTTTCCAAACTTTTGCTACTATCAGCACAACTTGGAAATCCCTGTGGCTAAATACTTGCACATTATTTTAAACTATGTACTTAGAATAAATTCCTAGAAGTAGAACTTCAGGCTCGAGATGTGGGCACACTTAAACACCTTTGATCCGTATTGCAAAATCATCACACACAAAGTCAGTGCCAACTTATCTTCCCCACTGCAGTGTGGGGGCAGCCTTTTCCTTTCACCCAGCCCAGATATTTCAGTTTTTACCCATTTGGTAAGCAAAATGGCACGTCATTATTTTCATTTGTATTTCCTCAATTACTAAGGAAAATAACCTCATTCACATTCACTTATTGGCTATTTGTTATTGTGTAAACTGCTTGTTGATATCTCTTGTCCATGTTTCTATTAGAATCTTTTTCTTTCTGGTTTGTGAGAGCCCTTTATATAATATTAGTCTTTTGCCATTAAGGCTAACACGTGTCATTCACCTTTTAGTTTTGCTTAAGGTGATTTTTATGTGAAAAAATTTAATTTCTACATTTTTTAACAATAAACCACACTCAGGATTCTAAATTACCAATTTGTAAATGGGCACATGAAATATAACAAGTTTTACATGTATAATCTCATATGCTGGCTACTTTATCATGTTTCCATATCTTTTCTGCATGGAAGCTCCTGTAGGAAGCTCCCTAACCCTAACCAGCACTTAGCCTAGAACATAGGAAAGCTCCAAATTGTGAGATGAAAAAATAGTGTGTCTGGGGTTTGCTTTGAAGCAATCCAGTTTGGAGTGGAAGATGCAAATGGAATAAGATGAAACAGAATCAGCCACATGTCCATCATCATTGAAGCTGGGCGATGAGTACATGGAATTCATTATACTTTTATTTCTACTTTTTTGTATATTTGAAAATTTCCATAGTCAAAAGAATTTTTTTTAATGTCTCCTTGACTGATTGGTCCATGGCATCAAAGAGGAGATTTCTAGAATAACAATTGTGATGACAATGAATTACATTGACACCAAGGACCCTTCTGTAGCATAAAACAGTTAAGAGAACAGGCCATGAAATTAGGCAAGCTGGGTGCAAATCCTTTTTAGCTTAGTGACCTTGAACCAGTTATTCAACCTCTCTGAAACTCAGGTTTCCAGTCTAAATAAGGGATTAACAATTACCTCCAAAAGTCCTAGAAGAGATTAATGGGTGTAAAACTCAGTGCCTAGCACCAAGTCGCCATCATTATCATTCGGTGATGCACAAGCTTGAGAAGCTCCAGCCAGCATTTCCTGGTGGGGGTGATCCAATACCTTTCCACTACAGCTGTGACTGTGAATCAGCTTGGGCATCACACAACTGCTTACAGAGAACTTGGTAGAACAGATGTCAGGAGTCACGTTCCTGATATCCAGAAGAGAAACCAGATAAGGCCACAGCAAAGAACAAAGACCATAGTCCGCAGTGTTACTCAACAGGTCGCCACAGGGCTTAACTCCACATTCCAGTGATGCAATCGAGACCAAGAGGGATGAAGCCCTGACAAGAGTGGGCTGTTTGCAACTTTGACCAAACTCTGGCATCACCTGGGAGCTTGAAACAATACAATGTCTGGGTCCCACTCCCAGAACTGATTTAATGGTCTGGGATGTGGACTCGGTAGGTATCAAGGTTTTTAAAAATCAAATGTACCTAACGTGCACCAACCACTCTGCTATATGAGTTGGGGTGGAAGGGTCTGGAGGGAAGAGGACAAGGGGAAACAAAGAAGAAAACAGAGACCATTCCGTCCCACAGGAGCCCCATTAAAGCCAACCCAGTCACGTGATCCCAAGCCGTGCCCTACTCCAGACAAACTTCATCTCTTTCGGGTCCCTTCACTGCCTCCATAAGCCTCAAGACTGGATTACTATAATAATTCACAGGGCTAACATGTTATTAACACCAAGATACATGCATATCAATATTATAAAGAATGTTAGAGCAACATGCCTGATCTCTGGGTTTTAGTCTTAAAAAAAAAAAGTCCAGCTAAGTGATAGGGGAGGCTGGGAGAGGGAGAAAAGCAGTCTGTCCCACAGCCTTTTGGCAGCCTGTCAGTGCGACTGACGCACACTCAAAGAGACAACCCCATTTTGTGAAGTTACTGCAGTGTCTTTGATCACAGGGAAAAGCACATCCATTTCAATCACTGGAACGGGGACTGGCCAGCTGTCTGGCCGCCTAGCAGCCCACCAGGGTGACCCTCCCTGAGCCTGCAGACACATGGCAGTGCTTAGCATGTCAAACAAATGAGGGGGTTCCTGACTGTCTATCCAACCTTTGCTGAACTTCAGGGGCCCTCTCACTTAGCAATCCTGCCCTGACTAATCTGGAAGTTCCTCTCCCCAGCAAACACCACCTGGCCCGGCCCGGTCTCGCCAAAACAAAAGCTGGCCCACAGCTGTCTGTCACGAGGCAGCAAACACTTCAAACCCAGGAGGGCAGGGGTCACGCGTTCTCATGAGCAACACACTCAGGATTGCACAAGCCTGGAGAAAGGGGGAAAAAAGATTTTTCCTCCTCCCTGTGACCTTTACCCCATCTTGGCCCCAGACTCAACTGAGAGAGGTCTGCTCTTCTCTCCGACACATGAATTCTCGAATCCGTATACAAAGATCACCTGTGTTCTTTTCACTAGAACACGTAATAAACAAATTGATGAGAGAGCTCATCAATTCTCAAATTTGGGTTCAACAAAATGTTTTAATTTCCTTAAGTGGCATCATCCAGAAAATCTGGGGAAGGTGTGAGTGGCAGGACCAGAGTAGAGATGGGGGAAATGATGATAATAACGACAGATATTTACACAGCAATTTGTGTGCTCCAAGTGTACTACCGGCCTTAACTCATTTAACCCTTGTCACAAGCTTACGAGGTAAGCTATAGCAATACTCATTAATGATAGCAAAATAATGGTAGCATAATATATATATATAATATAACAATAATCATTATTATGTATAATGATGGAGGTAATCTCCATTTTTCACATAAGGATACTATAACCCGGAGAAGTTCCATGACTTGCTTGAAAGGTCAGGGCTGAGAGTCACGCTCAGGCAGGCTGACTCCAGGGTCAGTGCGCGAACCGCAGCACTAGACTGCCTTCTGCCAGTCCCCGCTTCAGAGCCTCCTTCAAAGCTGCCAGTTCAGAGAACAGCAGAATACGGAGGCCTTTGGAGCGAGGGGATGCTGGGTCTGCATCCCAGTCTGCCATTCTGCACCCTGCTGTGGTTGCATTCTCTGTAAGTGGGGATAATGGTACCTACCTCATAGGCCCAGGGCAAGGCTTAAGTGAGAAAATGAGTAAAAGCACCTCTCACAGGATTGCAGCCACAGTCAGTGCAATGCAGTGGCCCTCAGTCCCGGATGGACATTTGAGTCAGCTGGGAACTTTTAAAAATAGGAAGCCCAATCACTGCCCCACCACCTCTCCACATTTCCTCCCAAGCTGAAGGGTCAGTCTGAAATCAGCAGTCCCCCAGGCCCAGCCTGGAGAGGAAACCTGAAAGCCATGGGACCAGAGGCCAGCCTGCGCCCTTTGCCCCATTAATTCAGAGTTACAGGGAAGCTTTGAAACCTCTGAAGCCTTTGCTTCTGTCCAGCTCCGCTCTCTTGCACAGAGGGAGTCAAGGACTCAGACCATGCTCAACCGTGTAACCAGCTCAACCTTGTCCAGTGACCTTCCCTAGTTCCATTCAACAGTGCCTTCATCCAGCTGCCTCCTGCCCGCCAGGCTGTGTCCCACCTCCAGCCTAAAAGCTTCTGAAGGATCAGTCTGTTGTCCCTACTGTCCCATTCTGCCTGTTTTAGAAATAGTCTGTGCCAAGACCTACATAGCCAGTGCTACTTTTACACAAAGTTCTAACCAGGGCAGGAGGAGAGGTAGGATTTCCTGAAAAGAAATTTTAAAATCTGTGTGCATGCATATACATGAGTGTATGCACATGCATGCATACACATTAGTGTGCATGCACGTGTGTGCACACACAGAGACACTGCACACCACACACACATCCCACATGTAGTCCAAGAACCACAGCTCACTTTGTACTCAAAGGGATCCCTGCTTCATTTGAGGACTTTGGGGTAGGCAGAAGGGGTGCACAGAGGGGTAGCAATAAACAGTGAAGGGAATACCAGGGTTGCCCATGGAAACTGGCAAGGATAAGAAAAAATAATCAGCCTCCATTTGACAGAAGAGAAAAATGAAGAGGGCCAGCGGGGAGGACGAGGACCATGCCACGCCAGTTTCCTGGCTCAGACTTGTATATGCTTTTTCAGACCCCGCTGCCAGCTGGCAGGGGAAAGTGTGGAGGGTCCAGGAGGGGGGACGTAGGCACCAGAAGGTAGCATAGAGGGTGTCAAAGAGGCCTCAGCTGTTTCCCAGAAAGCCAAGGCTTGGAGGAGCCTTTCCATGCTCAGCAGCCCCCCACCCCCTCGGCCTCAGTCCAGGAAACAGCCTGGGAGACTCGGCCAGGGCCTCACCTGGGTAAAGGAGCCATCCTCGCTGCATTCTGGGACAAACACTGCTTCCTGGGGCTTCTTGGCTTGCTCTAGGGCCTGAGCCCGCTCCAGGCGACACTTGCTCTGGCCGGCATCTAAAAGAGGAGAGGAGCGAGCATATTTTGTACTTCGCTTGGATTCCATAGCAGAGGCACCAAACAAAACAGCTGCCTGGTTCTAAGAGTGCTGAGAAAACCCCACGCCCGTGGCCCATGGGGGAGCCCACAGGGCTGGGACTTTTCTATCGACACAGGGGCAATGGCTAGCAAGGGCCACTGGCCTCATCTTCCCCAGTGTTATTCTTAGGAGAGTGGGGGGTTGTATTTATACCATGTTCTACTTATTTCTTCTCCCAAGTACCCCCACCCTGCTCAGGAAAAATTGTTCCATTACTATTGTTATTCACAGGGTTTATTAAAAAACATGCAAGTCTAAGGGTTCTCAAAGATGTTTTATAGTTCAAAAATGGCAAGCATTTTCTTTAGAAAATCAGAGACTCTAGAGTGGCCTGCTTAGCCTCTCACAATTCCTTTCATGGCTTTAAGCAGTCCAGAATCACAAATTCAAATATCCACAGGGTATAGGAAAGTGACATAAATTAGAGAGGTGAGCTGGGTATGCCAAGGATGTCATTCAGCTTGGAGACACCATAGGGAATGCTGAGGACTGTGACAAACTCGAGAATGTGTTTCCCTTTAAAGGAGGTTGCTGCTACTCAGCTCTAGCCATGTGTTGCCTTGTGGGAGGAAACACAGACCTAATATTCTCAAAGCTTCCAATTTTTTATGAGAAAAACAAACATCCAGATTTTTATGATGCCCATCTCCCAATTTTTAAATGTCTCAAATGTTTTTTAATATTTTTAAACATGTGAGCAGACAGAAAATAAAACACATCTCTCAATCAAAAATTTGAAATCCCTATTCATAAGCCAGGAACACTGTTTTGCCATTTGAAGCATCTCCATTTAGAAAATAAAAACAGAAATAAATAGCACTAGCCATGCAGCAGGGCCTCTCTCTAAGCCTGAGCCTCTGTATTTTAAAGACAGAAAAGTCTCATACCTTCAGGTAGACCAGTTCTTCTCATATTCCCTGGTAGAAAGGGTGGGGAAATAGGATAACACACTGAATAAATAGACTCATTCTGAACTGCCCCCACAGGGAGTGCACTGTGTTGGAAGCTGTAGTGCTCAGGCACCTCTCCTGGGTGGGACAGAGATGCACACACTCACCTTTGCATCGACCTCGATGTACCACACCCAGGGCTGGGTCTCTGCACTTGGCTCGCTGGTACTCACACATGGACTCATAGGACCTGCCATCGGAGGCGCAGATGGGTTTGGGTTGAGTCCTGGAGCAGTGGAGGTTGCACTGAGGGTCGCGGTCACTTATGAGAAACTAGATTGAAAAAAGTGAAAGGGTATAGAGGTTACTCTTGTGAGAAAATCAGGGGTGAGTCCATGACTTACCATACTGGTTTGCTTGAGCAAGCCCAGAATAAAGCCAAAGTTATTAAATCCTAGAAGTGGAAGGGAACAGAGCAGCCACAAAGTCTAACCAAAGAAGACACTTGTGCTAAATGATTCACATGCAGGAGCTATCTCATCAATCCTCCCAACAACCCTATGAAATAGAAACCATCTATTTTGCAGATTTAAAAAGCAGGAAGCTTAGAGAGAGGTAATTTGCCTGGTGTTACATCTCTGTAAGTGATGAATTTGAACCAAGACTGGTCAGAAGTCAAATCAAAGCTTTTACCAAGGAGTTGTTCTGCTTTTCCACCCGTGAAGATGATCACGAGTCATCTCTTTCAACATTTCCCAAATTAGGAACTCCCTGGCAATTTCTAAATTCCATCTTTGGAAAGTTTTATGTATTAGAAAGTAATATTGAGAACCTATATCACATGACTCTACTCCAGGAAGACAAACAATACAATTAAAAAATGGGCAAAGGACATGAACAGACACTTCTCCAAGAACACACAGAGGGCCCAGAGACATATGAAAGGATGCTCAGCATCACTAGCCATCAGAGAGGTGCAAATTAAAACCACAAAGAGATATCACTTCACAATGGTCAGAATGGCCATCATAAACAAATCAACAAACAACAAGTGCTGGCGAGGATGTGGAGAAAAGGGAACTTTAGTGCACTGTTGATGAGAATGCAGACTGGTGCAGCCACTGTGGAAAACAGTATGGAATTTCCTCAGAAAAATAAAAATGGAACTGCCTTTTTACCTGGCAATTCCACTGCTGGGATTCTACCTTAAGAATCCTGAAATACCAATCCAAAAGAACCTGTGCACCCCAGTGTTCACTGCAGCACAATTTATAATAGCCAAGTGTTGGAAGCAATTTAAGTGCTCATCAGTAAATGACTGGATCAAAAAACTGTGGTACATTTACATAATGGAATACTACACAGCAGAAAGAAAGAAGGAGCTCCTACCCTTCATGATAGCATGGATGGATCTAGAGAGCATTATGTTAAGTTAAATAAGCCAGGTGGTGAAAGACAAATATCATATGACCTCACCTGTATGTGGAATCTAATCAACAAAACAAACAAGCAAGCAAAATATAACCAGAGGTATCGAAATGAAGAACAAACTGACAGCAACCAGAGGGGAGGTGTGAGGGTGTAATAGGGGATAAGGGGGAAGGGTTGTCAAGGAACATGTATAAAGGACACATGGACAAAGCCAAAGGGGGGTAGGATCGAGGGTGGGATGTGGGGATGCTGGAGTAGGGGGAAAATGGAGACAACTATGCTTGAACAACAATAAAAGAGAGAGAGAGAGAGAGAGAACCAAATCTGTCGCCCTTGAGTGGTGTCTCACTGCCTTTGTGTGTTCTGGCCCCAGGGCCCCGTCTCTGGCCTCAGGACTTCCTGCTCTGTCTCCCACCACTTGCTTGCTGCCAGTCAGGCACTCCGACTTGCTTTTTCCCCAGAGGAGTCACATTTGTTCTACCTCCAGGCCTTTGGACACACTGCTCTTTCTCCTACCTCTCCCACCCCTACTTCAGATTTTGGCTCCCGTCATCTCTGGAAGGCTTTCCCTGACTACCCCAGGTGAGGCCGGGTCCCCTTGTCTCTCACACCCCACTTTTCCTTCGTGGCTCTTAACAGTTTGTGGTGATGAACTAATTTGTGGCTTTGTCTAACAATGGAAGCCCCAACTCAGGGCCCTGTGAAGACAAGAAAAATGTCTATTCTGCCTGTGAATGTATCCCCAGCATCCAGTGCAGTGCATATCTCTGTGAAGGAAAGCATCCCTGCTGTGGCATTTCCCACACAGCACCACCTCAGAACCAGCTGGCGTGATGCGACAGGCCTGGTCTCCCAGGCTCCTGCCACCCCAGAGATCCCTGGGCCTCTTCTCCACCCCCTGCTCTGAGCTTTCCCCTCCCTTCTGAATTACATGGTGCATGGCAAGGGTCTACAGCTTCCTGCCCTAGCTCCACTTCAGAATTTAAGCCACCTTTGAGGCTGAGGGGTACATGTCTTCCACCCTCAACCCCCAGCCCCTCTGCCACCACAGCCCTCCCAGCCTACAACTGACAGTGCACCAGGGCAAGTTTGGGACCCAGAGGCCCAGCTAAATGCAGCAGGCTTGCCAAGCCTTGGCCAAAGGTTCCTGGATGGGCACAGGACATGGGTTGCTGCAAACAGCAAAGCTATCCTCTCTTTGTCCCTCAGTGTGACTCCCTCAGAGCCATTCCTGATCTGGCTGCCACCTAGAAATGCAGCCAGACCTGGCTCTGTGATTCTCCCTGGTGAGCAGCAGACGCCAGGCCAGATGGTAGGATCAGTGTTCTCATGCCCGATGCTGGCCAAGGGCAGGTTAAGGTACTGCTGTCGTCACACCATTCTCGCCTTGTCCATGGAATTCAGGGCTACTTACATTGAGTAACACCCTGAATTTTAAGACCTATTTGTTAGGTTATTTTGCCATGTGAATCAGCAGGAGCCAAGGAACAGCATGCCCTCTGTTTTCATGGTCACACGAGAATGGAAAGATCTCCCTTCCAACACCTGGGAGAAACAAGGAATTCATCCTTGGTCACAGAGGGATCTGAGAGCAGACCTAAAGTCTGAAGAAGAAGAATAATAGCAGGTGATAATTAGATATCACTTACGATATGCTAACAGATTAATCTTCACAATAACCCTATGAGGCAGGATCTTTTACAATCTTAATTTTACAGATGAAAAAACTAAAGCCCGGAGGAGTCAGGCAACCTCTCTAAGATTAAACAGCATGTACATGGCCATGCTGGCACTTCTACCCATGGCCTGGCCCCAGAGCCACCCTCCTAACACTAAACCACGATGCTTTCATTCTTACAGAGTAAGACTACAGAGCTAGTCTGTAGTGTTACTAGAGTAACACTACAAAAACAATCAACTCCCACCCAACAGCAAAACTGATTCACAAAGTCAAAAACTTTTCACCAAGAGCCTACTGTGTGCCCGATACTAACTGCTGAAGATCTAAATAAGATAGCCCTGCCCACTTTAAGCCTACTGTGAAAAGCACCTCATAGGGGCTTTGTACACACACACACACACACACACACACACACACACACACACACACAACAGGGACCAAGAAAGACATTTTCTTGTTAACAAGGAGGTTACCCAGCTGTGTCCTCCTCAGCTCACAGAGGATGGCAGCTGCAGGCATCATTGTAGCATTGAACTGCAGGCCATTAATTTGGTTTAGAAATGGCCTTCTCTGAGCCAACAGAAATGCGACAGTGGCTGTGCCAGAGGCCAGCTTACTAACTTCGGGAACACTCTGTGTACAACAGACAGGTTAAAGAGCTTCAGAAGAAGCCCCACCTACCCCAACCCATGGAAGCCTTCCAGCTTCAGAAGAGCTCCCAAAGCTTCTGTCTAAAAATTACTCGTCCCTGAGGCCAAGTAAGAAAGTTCTGAGACAGCACAGCGCCCTTGCTAAAGACCATCTTCAATTATCTGTGGTGTTTCATTTTCATCTGTTTTAGGGACCATGTGTGTTTGTGATTGTTTCAAAATAAGAAGGCTATGAGTTCTATAAAATGGAGTTTTGATAGGATGACTTGCTCTAATAGGGCCACCTGAACCTCCCGGGCCCCAAGGGGATCATTGTGGTCCACAAACACTGCGCGTTTGGCTGCTGCCCATTCACCTACTTTTGTGCTCAACAAGTGAGCACTGTGATGAGCCCATGCAGGAGGCATGGGAAGCAGAACAAAACTGACATGGTCCTCCCTCAATCAGCTTGCACCCCGGGGTCGATGAACAGGTAAGATGGCACTGTAAGGGAGCAGGACACTGCAGGACAGGAGAAGATTTAACCCTAGGGTCTCTGCAATGCCACAAAGCCACACAGTCCTGCAGAACGCTCTGCAGTGATGAGCATGTTCTACATCTGGGCTGACCAATATGGCAGACACCAGCCACATGTGGCTATTAAGAACTAAAATGTAGCTAATGCAACTGAGGAACGAAATTTTTAGTTGCATTTCATTTCGGTTAACTTAAATTTGTATAGCCAGATGTGGCTGGTGGTCACTATATTCAAGACCACAGCTAGAGAGGGGAAGGGAGAGAGGTTCACCCTCCCTGGAATTTCCCTCGTTGAGCCATGCTCAGATAGATTAGACCCAGGAGGAGAAAAGAAGCAGATCCTGAGGATAATTTCTACATTCTGAAACTGGACATGAAATCAGCTCATTACTTATGGGTCAGCAGCAGAAATCCCAGGAGTTCAGCACAGTTCACCGGAAGTCACAAAGGCAGATTTCTTTCCCCTCTTATGCCAGTGACAGGAGGCACAGGCTGGAAGTCTCCAGCACCAGCCTGTGGCCTGGGTCAGTTCTCTCAGCACACGGACAAAACTCAGGGTCTGAGTCACCCTGCTGAGACCTGAACCTCAGAGCCACAGAAGTCTGCTGTGGGCTCAAGAGCAACCACGGTTAGCGGAAATTTTTGGTGTTGGGCAGAGGCAAACTGTCTCCCCAGTGAGGCAAACACTGAACCATTTCCCTCTGGGGAAAAATAGTATTTTCATAAAAATCCTCACATACATTCCCTTCCTTCGTCCTAACCAAAAGACAACAAAAACAAAATAATTATGTTAAATATGATTACGTAATAAGGAAACCAAACAAAAGGGGCCGGGACAATTGTGCATTTGCAGTCTTCTCCCGCCCTCTCTCCTTGGGGAGTGCATGATTCCAAAGCAAACACACGACATTCTGTGGTCTGCTCACATTTGTAAAGTAGGACAAGCACTTGAAATACATATAAACAATCCATCCTTCCTACTGGAATAGTAAGCTACCAATGGTGGTGTTCTTCACCTAGAAGAGATGGGGGGGGGAATCAACATTAGACCAACA